TCCTGTGTGTACTAGGTACAATCAGGACTGGTCACAGGGCCCTGGACAAGCCAGTCTAGGACGACATTAAGGTATAAGAATATAGGAAGGTTCGGCCATCTGTACATACAGTTTTGGGATTTTTAATCCTTAAAAATAAACTATTAAAATATACTGTGTACACTTTATACAATTTTTGGGTGGGCTAAGCTTTACTGGCCAACCTACTTACATAAATACAAACAAAAAGGAATAGGAAACTATTGGAGCTAAGCTTTCAGATGGCCCGCCTTCCCTCAGTCTCAAATTTCTTCGAATATACAAGATGAGGGGCCGATGCACCTGCTACTCGACTCGAACGTAAAACTAAGTCAATAGATATACATTACGATTAGACTAACTTTACACACATAAAATAAAATGCAAGCCCTACATAGAATTATATCACATTCATGTAAAAAAATCATAGGATTCGGTGCTTGATGCCATTCTTTTCAAACTTTGGACCTCAACTGAGAATTTATGAAAGTCCCAACCTAGGCAGCAACGGGATGTTTCTGGAAAGGCCAAAACACTGACCCGACTACAGACTCTAGGGGCCGACACTACTTGGTCCTTACAAAACCTTTCCGAAACACCCTGCGCTCAAGCGCCAGTAGGAACATTGACATCTACAACACATATTTGACAAGAGCTGTCAGATTTAGAAATGTCACACATCTAACACATATACAGCAAGTTTACTATAGGGGGAGGATGATAAATTATTTGGTTTCGATAAAAGTTAAAATGTGGCACCATCAGAATCTTAGATGCTATTTAAAAACAAAGAAATAGTCCATAACAGAACAATCTTTTAACCACTTGTTTGCCGTTCTCACTGAGTCTTCACGGCGCCAACTTTCCTGGCATTATCAAACACCACGAGATCACAAGGAGCATGTCCTAGTCTTTGATTTGTACCACTTTGTGTTTCCGCCACGGCACGGCTTTGTACTATAGACGATGACGAAGGGACGTCCTCAGGCTTCCAAAGAGACAGCTTTCTGTTGCACAGAAGGAGCTGAGAGTGGGCGTGGAGAAGGGGGAGGTGTCTTTTTGGAAAGGTTGAGGGGTTGTTGCGCGTTAGCAATGCCGACTTGCAACTCCATTATAGACGGTGAGGAAGGGGATGTTGATGATGGAGAGGGGGATGAGGGGTGTAGGTAAATCCTGGACTGTTGCTCCAGGTGCATAAGGGGTGGAGGAGGTGTTGATACAAGAACGTAGGTGGCAGGTCGTCCTGACGTCGTCGTTATGACACTGGTGCCGGGAGTCGGGGTAGGGTTTTGACTCCACCTGTGGGAAGGAATGTACTGGTATCCAGTTGTGGCGGGAGTTTCTCCTCTCATGATGTAGTCATGGATGATGTCCGTCCTCTTCATCTGCTCAGGAGTCATCCGGGGTCCCTCCATCAACGATTTTGCCAATGTTGAATGAGTACTTGAGAGGGAGGAGGTGAGATGGTGGTGTAGCTGAGGAGAGTGGTGAACCATGGGCTCTGCTTCAGCACTGTCTTTATTCCTCAATGCTCTAAACTTTTTATGAGGCTTGTATGCCTCGTCCATTAGCGAGTTGGTATCACATAGAGGTGGAGCTTGAAGTACCCTCTTCAACACGGGCATGTCTTCTGCGATATGGTGGTTATGGTGGGATTGGTGATGGTGGTCTTCCTTGTCCTCCAGAGAAGACCTTGGACTTGAGCAGACTGACGTTGGTGCACTTCCAATAGGTTTGTCAATCTTTTCCGTGCCACTTTCGATTCCAGAGTCACTAGGAGAGTCCAATTTCCTAAAGGGTCGGTGGATTGTCTTCACATCATCTCCAGATGCTGAACCAGAATTCGCTCTGT